TCATGGCGCTCGCCAACTTGGCCGCAGCGAGCAAACACCCGACCATGATTGCACGCGGTGTGCTCAAGGTCGTCTTGCGCCTGGCGACGGCGCCACGCGACGACATTCGGCAGTACGCTGCCTTTGCCCTCGCCAACTTTGCCGGCAACGCCGAGCACTGCAACACGATCGGCGACGAGGGCGGCGTCGCGCCGTTGATTGCGCTCGCGCACTCGGAGGACCCGAACGCGCACACGCTTGCGATCGCGGCGCTGCGGCGGCTCTGCCAAGTGTCGGCCACGAACCGCGGGCGCATCGTGCGAGGCGGCGGCCTCGTGCCCCTCGCCTTGGCCGGCCACTCGGAAGAGCTCGAGACGCAGCGCGAGGTGGCCGCGACGCTCTGCAACTTAAGCTTGAGCGACGAGTACAAGATGGAGATTGTGCTCAGCGGCGCGCTCCCGCCGCTCATCACGCTGGGGCAGTCGCCCGACGTCGAGGTCGCGCGGCAGGCGTGCGGTGCGATTGCGAATCTTGCCGAGAAGATCGAGACGCACGCGACGTTTGCAGCGGCGCACGGCGGGCGGTTTCTCATCGGTCTCATGCGCCACAAGAGCATCGACATCCATCGCGAGGCCTCGCGCGCGATGGCCAACCTCCTCACCTCTTTTTGGCCACCACGGCGACATGATCGCCGAGGGGCTTCCGGGATTGATCCACCTGGCGCTCAGCGTCGACACCGAGTGTCAGTACAACGCGGCATTGGCTCTGCGGAAACTCGCGCCCAACACGGCGAGCCACCGAGGGATTGTGTGTGAAGGCGGGCTCAAGTCGCTCCTCTTTCTGCTCGAGTCGAAAGAAACCAACATCCGCAAGCACGCCGTCGTCGCGCTCCGGGACGTTGCGTCCAACGCCGCGTACCAAGTGCGCTTTTACGAAGAGGGCGGTGTGAGTGCGCTCGTCACGTTCGTGCGAGACGTCGAGCCCAATTTGCAGTGCCCCGCACTCGCCGCACTCCGCCACCTCTCGTGTGCCACGGAGCTCAAGAAACCGATTGTCCAGGCGGGCATTCTGCGCCCGCTGCTCAAATGCATCAACCCGGCCGGCCACCATGTCGACTTGCTTTGTCAGTGCGCGGGCTTGCTCGCGAACCTCAGCGAACACCTCGAGAACCAGCTCACGATGGTCGAGGAAGGGGCGACGACCGGCCTCGTCGCGCTCGGCCACATTGACCACGACGAGATCCAGCAAGACGTGGCGCGCGCGCTCGCCAACTTGTCGGCCAACGAAGACAACCACAGCACGATCTACAAGCAAGGCGGGCTCAAGTGCCTCATCGGGCTCACGAGGAGCAAGGAAGAGGTGTGCCAGCGCTACGCGGCCATGGGGCTCCGCTTCCTCGCGTCCAACCCAACGATCCGCGTGCACATTGTGCAAGAGAATCTGCTGCCGCCGTTCTTGGCGCTGGCGCAGTCGCCCGTCCTCGACTATCAGCGCACGGCCGCGTCGGCCTTCTGCTCGTTTTCGCTCAACGAAGAAAACAAAATGAAGCTCGTGCGCGACGGCGGCCTCACACAAATCCTGAAATGCATGCGGTACGAGGACCTCGAAGTCACGCGCGACTGCACGTTTGCGCTCGCAACCTCGCCGACTCGTGGGAGTACCAGATGGACATTGTGCGCGAAGGCGGCATCGCGACGCTCGTCCACGTCGGCGCCCACGACGACGCGCGCGTCCAGCGCGACACGGCGCGGGCCCTCGCGTCGCTCTCGGTCACCGCGGCGCTCAAGCCCGAGCTCATGACGGCGCTGCCGACGCTCTTCAGGCTCGCGCGGTCCTTGGACGTGAGCAGTCAGCGCTACTCGACGCTCGCGATCTGCAACCTCGCGTCCGGCCCCGACAAGGTCGCGATCGTCGAGACCGGCGCGGTGCGACCGCTCCTGCACCTCGTGCGCTTTCCGGACCACGAGATCCAGCGGTATGCAGCGCTCGCACTCGCCGGCCTCGCGCTCAGCGACCACGGCCACAACAAACTGCGCATGGTGACGGACGGCGCGGTGCGGCCGCTCGTCGAGATGCTGCGCTACCCAAGCGTCGAGATCCAAAAGTGCGGCTGCTTGGCCTTGAACGCCCTCACGCTCGGCAAGCACGCGGCGACGAAGCTCGCCGTGCTCCAGGAAGATGGGCTCTTGCCGCTGCTGGCGCTCCTGAGTGCGTCCGACATTGAGTGCGTGCGCATCGCGCTCTACTGCGTCGGGTCGATCGCCGAGCACATGGACGTGCTCACCAAGCTCCTCGAGCTCGGCGCGCTGGTCCATATTGTGCACCACAGCCGCCAGCCGGACCTCGAGGTGAAGCGCAACTGCGGGTACATTTTGGCGCTTGCAGTCGAGCACCACGAGTTCCACGACGACTTTGTGCGCGAGGGCGGCATGCAGATCGTGGTGCACCTCGCGTCGATCGAAGATATCGAGTGCCAAGAGTACGCGACGTTTGCGCTCGCCCACCTCGTGTCGAACCGCGAGTACCAGGTCAAGCTCGGTCAGCATGGGCGCGCTCCGACCGCTGATCGCGATCATGTCGGTCAACGCCGAGCCGCGCCACTACGCGGGCCTCGCTTTGCTCAAGCTCGCCGACAACTACGAGTACCGCATCAAGATCGCGGAAGAAGGCGGCATCCAAGCTCTTTTGCGTATTGCGCGCGCCCGCTCGACGGACGAAGAGCTGCAGTACAAGGCGTCCATGAGCCTCGGGCAGCTCGCGGCCAACGCGACCAATGTCATGCCCAAGGGCCGTCACAGTAACGATGGCGTTGGCGCAGGGGCGTCGCGCATGGCTGCCACGACCGAGCAGCTACAAGCACCCAAAGCGCGCGAAACCACCACCGAGTACATTGAAAAGAAGATTCGCGCCCAGACCGATGCCAGCGGATGACCATGCCATCGATATCCTCGTAATATATATAATGTGTCAAAGGGGGGAAGAACGCATTATAGGTGTTTGCTCTACATTCAATCTCGTAGATCTTGCGCGCTGGCTTGTTGCAGCCTTTTGCCGGTCGGCAACCGTCTCGTACAAGTACGTTTAGCGCGATCCTTCGACAGCGATGCGTTGGTCGTCGTCGAGGCCGCGCTCTCGGTGTTCAGCAGCCTCAATACGACAATTCAGCCCGACGAGCTTGCCAAGCACGTTGACTCAATCGGCAGCGACCTCAACTCGATCGTCAGTGACGGCGCCATCGCATGGGCGGTGTCAGTGCCACGGACAGCATCTTTATCTTGTTTTCGCTGGCGCTGTCGTAATGGCGTCCTCAGTGCAACCGACCCACTCGTAACACCAAAGGCGGCTCGGCACGTCGATTTTTAAACACGGTCTTTCGTCCCTCGTGGGCCCGCGCTGCCTATCGACCGACAAATGCCTCTGCCCATCACTTGCGACTTGTAGTGGACCGTTGAAAATGATCCCAGCAATTTCCAACGTTTCTTACATTTTGGCCATGCACTGCTACGGCAGGCGTGAGGTTTGTCCTCCGAAATCGAAACTTTTGCACCCTTCTCAAATCGCCAAGATTTTTTCAGGGGCGCTTTCTCTAGGTATGAGTGCTTGGGTCGGCCCACGATCGCAGCCATGGTGTCGGCGCTCGCTGCATGTGGCGCATCGGAGGCGTCGTTGTCGTCTTGGCTCTGCTGGAGGGCAGGTTTGCGAGGGCGGCTTGCGTAGGCCTATGTGGCAGTGGACCGGGCTCAGCGCACCGCTGAGCGCGATGCCTTCGTCTGGGTACTTCTTGATGCTGGCGACTGGCGGCGTCGGGCGCCAAGAGGTCGATGGTCCATGGCGTCGGCTTGGTCTTTTTTGAGCGCCTCGACGCGGCCGTCGAGGTCTGCTTGCGCTTCACGCGGAAGGCAGCGCGCTCTGCCTCTTCGTGCAGCCGCTCGTCGCGCCGGACCTTCCTGATGTTGGCGCGCGCCCACACCACTTTTTGTGCTTGCGGATCCGGCTCGATGGGAACTCGATCTGGAAGAGATGTTTTTATTGGCTCAATTCTTGATTCTTTCTAGCCAATCACAATAGACACGACCGCGTCTTAAATAGTGTGCGCACGATTCAGCACAACGACGAGTAGCGGCCATCAGAGGCGCCAACGCCACGTGGCAGCCGGGCATACCTCTCCACACACTTACTGAATGACATACATGTCGTTTCCGACTTAGCGCGTAGCGCAATCACGCGCAAATCCATTTTCCATTTTTCGAGGTGGCGGCAGAATTGCCCAAATACTTCACGTTACATCGCGGGGTTCCAAAGCTCCAAGGACCGTAAAACTGGCTGTCACAGTTGGCGATGGGTCTCGACGTGGTGTGCGACCAGCTTGTTGGTCGTCGTCGTTGCTTGGACACTCACACCAACCTCGAACTGCCGAGCGTCGGTTTTCAGGAAATTTGACATGTAATTTTGGTTGAAAATGCATCGAAATCGCGGAAACCGACGACGCTATCAATTATTGTTGATGGTAAAGAGTGTGTTGCATGTGGCCGAGGGAGGCAACGTGCGCGCGATACCGCTGTGCGATGAGGCCTTGTATCCCGTACATTATTCCGGTATAGTGAAAAAGCACACTATATCGAAATGTTGTTTGCCGCTGTCTTTTGCTCTCGCTACAGAGCTCGCACAGCGACGTCACTTAGCACTTCAGTCTCCCCAGAGTGTGGCCTAGCACGTAGGCAAGTATGGGCGATTTTGTTTTCGAACTTCATTTTCGTCGATCCGCCGGCGCGGCGGGTCTTGGCTGCACGGCAGGGAAAATACCTGTCCTGGACAGGGACTTTTGTCACACACTGAGCCACAACAAATTGTGGTGACCTGGTTGGGTATAGATATTCAGTCACATGTCAATAAATTATGCTGGGATAAGTTTGAGCGCAATTGCAGACTATCAAGTCAACGTCGTCAACATAGCTAAGCCGTTTTTTAATGTGTGAAACGAAGCATGGTTTTCACACTACTCAATTATTTGTGAAATACATGTATAGAGTTAGCTAAAACATCGATAGTGTGAAAAACACGCGTTTTTCATACTACTCAAGTATTTGCAATATACATGTATAGTGTGAGACCAAACATTGATAGTGTGGAAAACGCGCACGTTATCCACACTACTTAAGTATCAGCAAAATACATGTATAGTGTTACCCAGAAATCAGATAGCATGAATTCAGGCCCATTTCACTATTTTGCCTCAATGAAGAACTACTCTATATTGCTAGTGGTATCCTACATACTGTTTGTTGGGGCAAAACGAAAATGGGTATGGAGGCCTTCCTAGATGACCAGGGTCCTCCATCACCACGACGAAATTGGAAAATGCGACGCCGTAGCAAAATGTTTAAAATTAGCTCGCATCTTGCTACGTCGCTGCTTTTTCCAAATTCGTCGTGGTGATGGAGGGGCCTGGTCATCAAGGGAGGCCTTAGTCACGAGAGAAAATATGCGCAGTGGCGATGGCGGTGTGATTTTTAACGCTGTTTTGTTTTAATTTAGCGTTTTCGTAAGGAAAAGATTGCATTTTTATTCGAGCGAGTAATTAATCTGGATTTTAATTCACCAAAACCGCCTGATTTAGGTAGCAGGATATCTGTAGGAGAATGGCTCTTTCTGCATTGGTACTTTGCTTCAATCAACGTATAAAATGGGTTCCGATCACTTCGGAGTACCTTTTCAGTGTCTTTTCGGAGTTCATAACTCCGGAGTACTTTGGTACCCCGGAATCACCGAATGTGAGAAAATCGACCTTTTATGCACCACGACACTGTAGCAGACAGACACAAAACTTAAACATGACGATTTTGAGCTTCGTTGGGACTTGATTTTTTTAATACCGAGTGTATCTAATTGAGCTGTTTTGAGATGACGCTACGCTGTGTTTTAGACGCCGCCGACAAGGATGCTGGCGTCTAGTGTTGGGTAAGACAGTCCCCGTTTTAAAACAAGGGCGATATTGACAACGCCGCTTAGCTTGCCGTGTGCGCAATGACAGGGCGATCATAACCTGTAGGATCTGTACCTAATTTGTTTGCATTTAAAATGTTTTCGCGTTATATACATTGTAAGAGGTTTAATATAATTTTACAGAGGTTTTTGCATTTGCGTGCAAATGCGCATTTTTGGATGAGGTCAAGTAATGGGATTTTGCATTTGAACTCCGATGTACTATTTTGGATGAGGTCGAGTATAAGGAAGAGCTCGGGTGCGCTGCCTGTATAATTTTATAGCATAGGCACGAGAGCTCTAAAGCTTTGACTGTATAAATTTATAGAGTACAAATGATAGCTGTGGTGTTTTGGAAAATATGACAGCTCCCGTTATTAAATTAGGATGCTTGAGACAACGAGAGTTCGTTCGTTGGGTTCGCATTGACAAGGCCCGTTACTGATGCGAGAACTAATTTTATTGGCGTCAATGCGTTATAGTCAATTATATTTTTATTTAAAAAATTGATGTAAAGTAGACAGGCCAGGTGAAGTAAAAGAAGGGAGTATTAAAGTGTGAATAATGTGTTTGTAAGTAAACTTCTCGTGCATGCTTCGGACTGGAGCTCTGGTTGGGATTTATGAATAGTGAGTGGGTGGCGAGAGCGATTGGACAAATCGCTGTTCCTCAGCCTGGTGATCCGTATGACTCAGTTTTTGGTGGATCACCTCGCGATGTCGAGTTGCTGTGGCGTGGTCGTGAAGTAGCACTCATATTGACCACTCCAAACGACCTATCTCAGGCCACAGATCGAGTCCATGCAAAATTCTTACATAGATACCTCGGTCTTGCCTAAGCGGATCGAGACAAACTATGCATAGAGCTATATGACAACATTGTACTTGGTCAAACCTGTTTAAATTACATAGCATTTGCCTCAAACCGATTATACAGACAAATTTTACATCGTTGCGTAGGTATTGACATGGGCGATTATATGAAAATATCCCTGTCAGTCTATGACAACATTGTACACGGTCAAACGTTTTTGCACTACCTAGTACTTGGCACAGAGCGAATCTTGGCACAAACGAGACATATTCTTGTAGCTCTACCAAAGCGACATCGAATACAATTATAACTTTTAGTCCATGATATTTCTTTACACGATTAGAGTTGTATTACGGACCCCAAATTGCTTTATCTTTCTACAGACCTATTTAATCTTCAAGTGATACATATTCTGGAAGGTGGAGACAAACTACATCGATTACAACAAAATAAAAAGTCCGGGACATTGTTGTACACGACTAGAGTCGTTCTACGGACCTCATATCGTTAGATCCTCCTAAAGACCGATTCATTCTACGTAAGATACAGCGTGGGACTCGTCTCGACTCGCAATAAGAATGTTTTGTACAATATTTTTGTACAATATTTTTGTCATATAATTTTGCACTAGATTTTTGTACCGTACTTTTGTACAGTATATTCTTACAGACTTTCTGTACCGCTTTCTGTACAGCTTTTTGTACATTTTTCCGCTTAAGCATTTCGCACAGTAGTTTTATCCTTATATCGGTACAGTCGTGTTGCACAGCATCTTGTACAGCATTTGTTGTACGACGTTTTCAAGCAACTTGTATGTTCGGTACTTTAAGTCGACGCTTACCCCCTCACCCCCTACTCAACCCCTAATTTGACGTACAGGGTTTCAAGGTTTTATTGTTAGGAGGTTAGGGTGTAAGGGTGTAAGGGGTGTAAGGGTGTAAGGAGGTTAGGAGGTTAGGAGGTTAGGAGGTGTAAGGGTGGTTAGGAGGTTAGGAGTGTAAGGTGT